TGTTAAGAACCTGGTAACGGTTTGTTTTGCAGCTCCCTTTGCCCGAAGCCATCAAAGATCCTGAATTCCTGATATCGGATTTCGCGAAATTCGACCGCCCAGCGCAGCTGCATCTTATATGGCAAGCTTTTGACGCATTTTATGAGCAGAAGAAGTTTCTTCCCCGCCCCTATAACGAGGTGAAACGCAATTACGTTTCCCATCTCCAGTGATTTTAATACGACTTTTAGGCGGACGCCGGTGAAATGCTATTTTTATGTGAAAAACTGAACGCTGCGGCACCAGAGAAAACGAGGTTGCCCGACATCGACAAAGATCTGGTCAGGCTCTTCAGTTTTCAAGTCGAGGGCAATCTCATACCAATAACGGGCTTTATTGGAGGCATTGCTGCACAGGAAGCAATGAAGGTATGTCACGGTGCAAGGCAAAATTAGTTGCCTGTATAATCGTTAAAGTTCAGATTGTTTAGCTGAATAAAAAGCAAGAATTTGTCGCAGTTGGAATGTATGTCTAACTGCTTTGTACTTCCATGGTAGGCTCCAACTTTGGTTTTCTTTCGTGAAACTCATGGAACGGCACGGATATTCTCTTCAGTGGACATCAGTTGGGGTTTCTTTTTTTATGACACAAGTCTAACTCTGTATGTTAATTTCTGGGTGAAATCTTTTTGCTTCCTACACAGTTATGCCTATCTCATAAAGATGGAAAAGGGATTGCACGAATAAATGGAATTCTCCATCTTTTAACTGTGAGATTAGATCTTTGCCCTTTGAGCTGGCTTAACGAAAGGCTGTTCTGAAGAGGAAAACTAGAGGTTTCAACTCTCTTTTTGCAGGTAAAAATTAAATACTGGAACTTTAATAACAAACTGAAAATTAAGCCAGCGTAATAATTTTCTACTGTACGAGTAATGCATACATTGCATTAGCATAATATTTTTGTATGTTGTTTTTTTTTGTTGAATTTGAAAGATTCTTATACCTTTTGTTGTCGAAAGTCTATTCTTACGTATGATTAGTTGTTCATAGAATCAGCATCTTGAGCCTTTCGCAGTAGCAGAACGTGTTTGGTTTGTTGTGTCCCATGTATCCGCAGCTTTTTAAAACTTTTACTCTAAGGCACTGATTATTGCATCGCTGAATTTCTCTGAGAGAAGATCTGCATCTACGTGGTTCATCCATGTTGCATGCTGTCCTCCTGCAGTTGACAACATCAGTCGTGTGTCTGGTCCATTACGAGAAGATCACAAGCTGAAGTTACTGCTGCATAATCGCCAGTTTGTCTAACAGGTCCAACCTTTTTTTTTTCTTAATCTTTGTGTCTACCGAGGTCTCCTGTACCCGGAAAAGAATAGTCATTCCTTCGTTGTTCTACCATATAACCTTCATTATGCGTCGAAGCCAACGCTGCTATGGGCAGTTCAATCGTCGTTCTTCCTTCGATGCATCAGCTGCATCCTGCCGAAGGAATATTGACCTGAAGAGTCACTGAACACGCAGATTTTCGTAGGAAAAATAAAACTTTTCTCAGCCCAATATAGGACAGGTTTTCCAAAGCACTCCAGGTTAGAGTAGTCATACTGTTTAAATTTCTTTGGATGGTGCCGTTGTTGGAGATGAGGCAACTGAGTTATTTAAAATGGTCAACCTCAAATTATTTTAGCTCCTTTTACACTTGTAGATCAGCGGTGCCATTTGAGTTCCTCATAAGTTGATTTTGAATTCCGGACGTTAAAGAAGAGGCCGGTTTTCGCTGTTGTGTTGCATGCGGAAGCCATCTGCGGAAAGAACCCGTTTATCATACTACGCATCATAAAATATCATCCGCGTATTTCAGGTCAGCTAGATATCTTAAACTGCTTTTCCTGTAGAATGAGACCTTCCATTTTGCCGTAGTCAACACTGTATTAGACAAGAAAGTCTAAAGCAGAATGGAATTGTAAAGGCGGAAGCGCTTCGTCCCCATGAACTACGTAGTTCATTGTCAACCATTTAGATAGCCTCATTTTAAATTTGACACAAGCCATGGATCCTGGATGCATGTCTTCCAAAATAGAAACGATTGATGAACTGTCGCATCCATTTGAAGACTGTTAGCTACTATATTGCGATATTTCTCTGCTTCCGAGTCGCATGGTGACTTTGTTTGCTTATTGTCGATATGAATGCGTCTGTGTTGCTGTTTCAGGGGATGACAAGTATATTCACACCTATACGTCAGTGGTTTTACTTCGACGCCTTGGAATGTCTGCCGGACAGTGACAGCCCCTTCAAACTCAACAAGCAGACTTGTTCCGCAAGGGGCTCTCGGTACGACGGGCAGGTGGTCGTGTTTGGCTGGCCGTTTCAGGAGGCTCTATTGCGCCAGAAGTGGTTCATCGTAATGTTACTGATGATTCACTGTTTTTCGTGTTTGCCTCATGCGTGAGTTTAGGTCGGTGCTGGTGCGATCGGTTGTGAGTTGTTAAAGTATTTCGCTCACATAGGCGTCGCTTGTGGTCCCGGCGGTTGCTTGTTCCTCACCGACATGGATAGCATTGAAACATCGAATCTGAATAGGCAGTTCTTGTTTCATCGCCAAGATGTTGGGGTAAGAAATGCCGTGCGCCAGTTTCTTATTTAAGAAGACATTTCGGATGATATTGCCGTCGTATAATAAAAAAAGATTCTAGGCGTTTTAAATGTTGGTCTTCGTTGCACTTACATGATGGGTCAATTCAAGTAGCCTTGTTTTCATTTCCATTGCATTAGCCACCAGTGCCTTATTTTTTGAAGGCCGGATTGAAATCATCTGTGACAAGCATTTTTTTCTGGTTTCCTTTCCGCTCATTTATCAGTCTCCCAACGAAGAATGGTGAGTGACTTTGATCAGGTCTTCAACACAAGACCTCTCTACCTACCAAGTAACCATGCTTTGCAGCGGCGTGCGGTAAATTTTTAGTTCAAAAGAACTAGTGCCCTCCCCTGCACCTCAGAAACTGACATTTTTTGCATCTTACCACCAGGTCACCATTTTGTATTGTTGGATTGATATGCAGAAAGGACATGTCGCTACTGATGTTTTATTTTCTTAGTACTCTGCGATGGAAGAACAAGTTTCAGTGAACTTTTGAAGACACTAAGCATTTTTGCTTTGGTTAGAGCAGTACATTTCAGTAAACCGTTTGCTTATCGAAAGATTTACGCAGCACGGTAACCTCAGAGCTGGATCTGGTTTCGAGTAAATTTTATAGCTCTGTCCAGTCACAGTAATTTCAAACTGTGAAATGGCATGGTTTATGAATCCTGTCGTGCTGAGTCAGATGTTGTCAATCATCGGATTGTGAACTAGCTTTCTGCATCCTATTGTAATTCGACAGGTTACATGAATCAATGTCGCAGGCTGTCCATGCTAAAGCGACGTACATAATGTAGTAGAAATCACTCCCACTTCGTAATTACAGTGCTGTATATTTTTCGACCAAAGTTTTAATTTAATCAATTTCTACCTTGTTTCGTTGATACTCGTATTTCGAATGAATTATGTAAACGCATTTCAGAGCAAGAAATCTGAGGTGGCTGCGAAAGCCGCGAAAAGCTTTAACCCGGCGTTGAACATCAAGGCGATGTGTGATCGCGTAGGCGGAGACACAGAGCAGATATTCAACGATTCGTTTTTCGAAAACTTAGACGGCGTAACGAACGCTCTGGACAACGTCGAAGCGCGTAAGTTTCTATTTATGCGTATTTCGCCGTAAGGTTTGCTGGAAATAGAAGCAAGTACTATACTGTTCTAGAGCAACACAATATGCCGCAATAATTTGAAGTTACAGAGCTCATTAATTAATAACATATTAATTAATTTGCTAAAGATGATGTGACTGCGAGATATCTTGAATTTGTAATTTTTAGGCACTTATATGGACCGTCGATGCGTATATTACCGATTACCCTTAGTCGAGTCTGGTACACAGGGAGCTAAAGGAAACGTACAGGTCGTCTACCCGTACCTCACGGAGTCATACAGCAGTTCGCAAGATCCACCTGAAAAATCGATACCCATCTGTACTTTGAAGAACTTCCCTAATGCAATTGAGCATACGATACAGGTTGGTATTGTGCCATGTTGACAGTATCGTCTCCGCGTGGCCCACGATTGTTCTTTTGACGGTGTTTGATTTTCGTTTTCAGTGGGCACGTGATCTGTTTGAAGGCCTGTTCACGATTCCAGCTGAATTGGCCAATCAGTTTTTGGATGATCCACGTGGGTTTTTTGAAAGAGTCGACAAAATGCACGCTGGACAAAAGGTGAGTTAGGAGTGTGCAAATAGGCATTCAAATATTGTAGTTTGACTAACGAGCGATTTCTGTTTTATCTGGATGTGCTAATGTACTGTTACGCAGGATCAGCCTATCCAGTTTTCACGGTATCTGTCGGATTATGCATAGTTACTGCATGTGCGATCTGTATCACAGCACAATAGCTGGTTGGCGAAAATGTTATGATCTCAGTAGTTGATTTGCTTTAAGCAGACATTCGATTTATCCCAGTGCTTTAATAGTTTGCTAGACTGTCATGCCTAATTTTTGACCAGCCCTGTCAAGACAGCTCCTTCATAACATGAATCTCGGAAGACAGGGGACCGTCACCCCTTCCTCTTTTCCAAATCGAGATGCAGTTTGAAAAGGACTCTGGAATAGTACAGTACGTGATACGAATGTAGCGTCGGTCCTATCAAGGGTTACAAACTGCCTGGATTGCATGAGCCTCTTTGCATCAGTCGCTGGAAAGCTATTAAAGTAACAACATGGATCAAGAGCTGGTCCAATAACTCTACCCTAACCAGCTACTAAGCGACATCCGTCTGTCAGAGGTCAAGTTTGCCTGATGGTAGATGCAAGAAACAGGTAGATACAGTAGATATTTGCCTGCAAGGTCTAAACGTGAATTTTAGCCTATCGCCCAGTAAACTCACAATGCTGTATGAATTTGTGTCTTAACAATTTGTTTTAGGCTGAAATGCTCGCTTCGGTGAAACGGGTGCTGATCGACGATAGGCCATCGAATGCAGAGCAATGCATTACGTGGGCTCGAATGCGATGGGAGGAGAACTTCAACTGGCAGATCCGTCAATTGCTGCACAACTTTCCGGCCGATCAAGTGACTTTGCAAGGTGCCAAATTTTGGTCCGGAAGTAAGCGATGTCCTCACCCATTGACGTTCGACGCAAATGACCCAACGCATACCGAGTTTGTGTATTCTGCATCGATTCTGCGGGCTCAAATGTACAATATAATACCGATCGTGGACTTGACAAAGGTAGTCGAAATTGCCACCGCTCAACAACCGCCGCCTTTCGTTCCGAAGTCCGGAGTGCGTATTGCGATCAACGATCAGGAGGCTCAACAGGCTGCGCAAAATGGGGTCGAAGGTAAGGGCGCTCATCGATGGCAGTCTGACGACTTATCCCGTTCGTTGTTTACTGTTGCTTTTAGACGATGGCCGCTTCCAGGAGTTACACCTGGCTTTAGCCAAATTGAAGCCTGACAAGAACCTGCGACTAACTCCAATCGATTTCGAAAAGGACGACGACTCCAATCACCATATGGACTTTATCACGGCTGCCAGCAACTTGAGAGCTTCCAATTACAA